TCCATTTGTTTTTGAGTTTGTGTTCCATTTCAAAAGACGTTTGTGTGGTAAAAGAAAGCACTTTTTTGGCGCACTCGCAGGCAGCTCGCAGTCGGAGAAGAGCTCGCTTGTCAGTAGAGATGTCTTTCTGGTGCTGGCGTTTAAACTCCTTTACAAAGTGCTCCGCCAGGCGACTGTCAAAGTCATCTCCAGCTTGATAGCCTTCAACGGAAGATTTCACCTCAAAAACGCCATCTTCGAGCTTGAGCACAGAGACGGTCTGAGTTCGGCCGCCCAGGTGAAAGACGAGCACATGCTGTTCAGTGTGGATGCCACTCTTCTTCTTGTCAAGACCATAGGCAATGGCGGCCGCCACTGGTTCGCTGATGATGCGCAGCACATTGAGTCCGGCAAGGAAGGCTGCCGTTTTGGTAGCCTCTCGTTGGGCGTCGTTGAAGCTACCGGGAACGGTGAGGACGGCGTTGTTGACAGGAGTTCTAAAATAAACTACAGCGGCCTTTTTCATGTTGCCCAGCAACGTTGCAGTGATATTTTCTGGGGCGAAGCATTCTGTCTCCTCTTTGATTTGCACTTGGATCATCAGCTTTCCATTGTCACCTTTTTTCACCTCAAATGGCCAGTCTTTCAAACGAGCCTGCACCAGTGGGTCATCGAAACGGCGACCGATGAAGCGTTTGACGTCAAAAATGGTGTTGGGAAGGTTCATTACAGCCTGGCTCTTAGCGACGTCGCCAACAAGCACTTTAGTGTCGGTAAAAGCAACCATTGAGGGTGTCACTCGGTAGCTGTGATCGTTGGCAATGATCTCCACTTTACCGTTCTGGAAGGCGCCCAAGCAGGAGTTGGTGGTGCCCAGGTGAATGCCTATGGCGACAGTGGTTGATGGTGCTGTAGATGGCATTTTCTGCAGCCTAATGGTAGAAAGAAAAGTTAAGATTTGTTGTTGTCACAACTAAGAGTGTACTCACCACCAGAGAAGAGTTTTCTACCAAGAGCAAAGAGTGAATGAGAAGCGAGTGAGCAGTGTGCACAGGAACTCCAATATGAGCGCACCAGCACCAGCAGCCTGCTACGCAGCAGTGAATGTCGGCTCAAGTAAGGGTGAATCACAGCTACAATTTTATACCGGACTCACCAGAGGCACCACCAACAGTTCAGGTGCTCTTCTTTCACAACAGCAGCAACGAGTGCTCCCCCACAACCGCAAACGAAGTCTCGCATCTTTGGAAGTTACTCATCACTGCAGCTACTCTCAAGCATTGCATCAATGCATAATCGTTTTTCCCCTAAACTGTTCACTAGGGGAAGCAGGCTAGCTGGACATCTGGTGCGAGCACACTGTTTTTTGCTACCCCCAAAGCAGTCGCATTTGCTAACGACCTCTATTCTCTTCCCACTCGTCTCTACTTTCACTTGCCTGCTGTGTTGTTTGTTTATTGTTTCAACACCAAGATATGAATCACTTTTGGTTTGCTAATTGACATCACTGGCCCTACCAGTGTTCATAGTGTCCATTTAGTTCACTTTGTAGGGGTTACTTTTGGTAAACACCACTATTTGCAAGTTGCAACTTTTAAATTGTCACCATTAATGAAAACCTCTCTCTTTACTCTCCCTTGTTGTTTTTGCTCATTTTCTGCTTATAATTTGCTTGATGTGTTAATTGTTTATTGATTAAAAACTAATATAAAATGAATCCTCATGGGATTGCTGGTTTACATTGTCAGCTACTGTGAAACGGCAATTTTTGTTGCTAGCACAAAAGTTGGGAAAAGTATAAAAATCATTAAAAAAGAAAAAAACGTTACAGATTAAGATTCTTGCTGGGCCAGTTTAGCCAGTACCGGCTTGCAAACGGCCACCAACTTTGCTCTCTTCCGTTCAATCTCCTTTTTCAAAGCGTACTCTGCACCGTTCTCCAACCAGCTCAAAGTGGCGGTCACCTTCTTCAGTGCCTGCCGCTGATCACGTCCTCCCTTTTTCCCCTTTCTCCATTCTGCTTCCTCTAGAACTTGCTTCACCAGATGAGCACTGTTTTCAAATGTAGCCATCAGGAGCAGCCGCTCCCAGTGGCGCTTATCCATCTCATGGTACTTCTCCGCTTCGATGACCGCCTGCTCGATCTCCTTTGGCGACAGACGACGGCTCAAGAGGCAGCTGTTGTGAAGGGTAAACTCGGTGATTGGAACCTTTTTTGTCTCTTTTTCTTTTTCTTCTATCACCACATGAGCTTTCACGCGCAACAGGCCGCTGCGGTCCACCTCAAAGGTTACCTGGACTTGTTCAAGCTGGTCATTTTCAGTTGTTGACGACTTCGACGGAATGCCAAAGAGCAGGAAGGCACCAAGGTGCTGGTTGTCTATTGTCAACATTCGCTCTCCTTCGAAAACGCTGATCAGCAATCTTGACTGGTGACATGGCCTTCCTATGAGATATTCAGTGGCGCGAGCCGGCAAAACACTGCCGCGATTGATCAGCGGAATCATCATACCACCAAACATTTCTATGCCCAGCGAGAGGGGCAGAGTTTTGACACCATCAGGTGTTTGGCAAATGTTTTTTAGAGAGGGTGCGTTTCCAATGAGAACAGCTGCCAGGAGTGAGGCACCGTAGGCGACTGCTTCATCCGGTTTGATTGACTTGTTCAGGTGTACTTGGCCGGCAAAAAACTCTTTTAGCAGCGTCTGCACTTTGGGAATGCGCGTCGAACCGCCCACCAGGACCACTTCATCAATTTGCCATTTGGCGAGTTTTGCATCCGCTAGCGCCTTCTCTACCGGCTCAAGTGTGACAAGGAGTTGGTTGGCGCACAGCTCCTCAAAGTTGGCCCGAGTGAAAGGGGCACTGAAAAAGACGCCCTCAAAGAGTGCATCCACTTCAATGGACGTTTGTGTGGTGAAGGAGAGCGAGTGTTTGGCTCTCGCGCAGGCAGCTTGCAGTCTACGCAGGGCTCGTTTTATAGCATAACTGTCCTTCAGATGAATGTGCTGGCGCTTAAAATCTTCTTTAAAGCACTTAATCAGTCGATAGGTTAACAATTCTCCGCCCAAGTGAGCGTCACCAGCGGTTGATTGCACTTCAAAAACGCCATTTTTAAGAACCTTGAGAATCGACACGTCAACCGTCTCACCGCCAAAGTGAAAAACGAGCACATGCTTTTCAGTGTTTTTGTCACTTTTCTTCTTGTTGACACCACAGGCAATGGCGGCAGCCACTGGCTCGCTGATGATGCGCAGCACATTGAGTCCGGCTAGCTTGGCGGCGTCCATCGTTGCCTCCTTTTGGACGTCGTTGAAACGGGCTGGAACGGTGATGACTGCATCGGTGACCGGTGTGCCGCCGAGGTACGCCTCAGCGGTTTCTTTCAACTTGCCTAGCACCATTGAGGTAATTTCTTCTGGGGTGAAGCGTTTAGTTTCTCCCTTGAACTGCACTTTGATCATCGGCTTTCCATTGCCATCGTTCACCACCTCAAATGGCCAGTACTTCATCATGAACTGTACATCTGGGTCATCGAAACGGCGACCGATGAGGCGTTTTACATCATAGACGACGCTGGTCCTCTTATCCTGATTTATAGCTGCTTTGCCAATCAGCAACTCAGTGTCGGTGAAGGCAACAGTCAAAGGTGTCATTTGGTCTCGGTCTTTGTTTGCGATGATCTCCACTTTGCCGTCTTGGAAAACGCCCACACAGGCGTTTGTGATGCCTAGGTGAATGCCTATGGCAACAGTAGTTGGTGGTGGTGGTGGTGGTGGTGGTG